GGAAGAGCATCTTCACGAGCAGGCTGGCTAACCTAGTGAGGAGGGCTTTAAACTAGGTTCACCGGGGGAAGGAGACCAAAGCTCTGAGGTAAGTGGGGAAGCGGGATACCGGGAGGAAGCACAAGCAGGAGCGTGTAAGAGGGGAGGGCTCCTGCCTCATACTGAGAACAAGGGATGATCAGCGGGTTATCTCAAGTGCCTATACACAAATGTAAGAAGCCTGGAAAACAAGCAGGGAGAACTGGAAGTCCTGGCAAAGTCAGGGAATTATGATGTGATTGGAATAAGGGAGACTTGGTGGGATAACTCGCATGACTGGAGTACTGTCATGGATGGGTATAAACTGTTCAGGAAGGACAGGGAGGCCAGAAAAGGTGGGGGAGTTGCACTGTATGTAAGGGAGCAGTATGACTGCTCAGAGCTCAAGTATGAAACTGCAGAAAAACCTGAGAGTCTCTGGATTAAGTTTAGAAGTGTGAGCAACAAGGGTGATGTCGTGGTGGGAGTCTGCTATAGACCACCAGACCAGGGGGATGAGGTGGACGAGGCTTTCTTCCGGCAAGTCGCAGAAGCTACTAGATCGCAGGCCCTGGTTCTCATGGGAGACTTCAATCACCCTGATATCGGCTGGGAGAGCAATACAGCGGTGCACAGACAATCCAGGAAGTTTTTTGGGAAGTGTAGGGGACAATTTCCTGGTGCAAGTGCTGGAGGAACCAACTAGGGGCGGGGCTCTTCTTGACTTGCTGCTCACAAACAGCGAAGAAACAGTAGGGGAAGCAAAAGTGGATGGGAACCTGGGAGGCAGTGACCATGAGATGGTCGAGTTCAGGATCCTGACACAAGGAAGAAAGGAAAGCAGCAGAATACGGACCCTGGACTTCAGAAAAGCAGACTATGACTCCCTCAGGGAACTGATGGGCAGGATCCCCTGGGAGAATAACATGAGGGGGAAAGGAGTCCAGGAGAGCTGGCTGTATTTTAAAGAATCCTTATTGTGGTTACAGGGACAAACCATCCCGATGTGTAGAAAGAATAGTAAATATGGCAGGCGACCAGCTTGGCTTAACAGTGAAATCTTTGCTGATCTTAAACACAAAGAAGAAGCTTACAAGAAGTGGAAGATTGGACAAATGACCAGGGATAAGTATATAAATATTGCTTGGGCATGTAGGAATGGAATCAGGAGGGCTAAATCACACCTGGAGTTGCAGCTAGCGAGGGATGTTAAGAGTAACAAGAAGGGTTTCTTCAGGTATGTTGGCAATAAGAAGAAAGCCAAGGAAAGTGTAGGCCCCTTACTAAATGAGGGAGGCAACCTAGTGACAGAGGATGTGGAAAAAGCTAATGTACTCAATGCTTTCTTTGCCTCTGTCTTCACGAACAAGGTCAGCTCCCAGACTACTGCACTGGGTAGCACAGCATGGGGAGGAGGTGGCCAGCCTTCTGTGAAGGAAGAAGTGGTTCGGGACTATTTAGAAAAACTGGACGTACACAAGTCCATGACGCCGGATGCGTTGCATCCAAGAGTGCTAAAGGAGTTGGCGGATGTGATTGCGGAGCCATTGGCCATTATCTTTGAAAACTCATGGCGATCGGGGGAAGTCCCAGAAGATTGGAAAAAGGCTAACGTAGTGCCCATCTTTAAAAAAGGGAAGAAGGATGATCCTGGGAACTACAGGCCGGTCACCCTCACCTCAGTCCCCGGAAAAATCATGGAGCATGTCCTCAAGGAATCAATTCTGAAGCACTTAGAGGAGAGGAAAGTGATCAGGAACAGTCAGCATGGATTCACCAAGGGAAAGTCATGCCTGACTAATCTAATTGCCTTCTATGATGAGATAACTGGTTTTGTGGATGAAGGGAAAGCAGTGGATGTGTTATTCCTCGACTTTAGCAAAGCTTTTGACACAGTCTCCCACAGTATTCTTGTCAGCAAGTTAAAGAAGTATGGACTGGATGAATGGACTATAAGGTGGATAGAAAGTTGGCTAGATTGTCGGGCTCAACGGGTAGTGATCAATGGCTCCATGTCTAGTTGGCAGCCGGTAACTAGCAGAGTGCCCCAAGGGTCGGTCCTGGGGCCGGTTTTGTTCAATATCTTCATTAATGATCTGGAGGATGGTGTGGACTGCACCCTCAGCAAGTTTGCGGATGACACTAAACTGGGAGGAGTGGTAGAGACGTTGGAGGGTAGGGATAGGATACAGAGGGACCTAGACAAATTGGAGGATTGGGCCAAAAGAAATCTGATGAGGTTCAACAAGCACAAGTGCAGAGTCCTGCACTTAGGACGGAAGAATCCCATGCACCGCTACAGACTAGGGACCGAATGGCTAGGCAGCAGTTCTGCAGAAAAGGACCTAGGGGTGACAGTGGACGAGAAGCTGGATATGAGTCGACAGTGTGCCCTTGTTGCCAAGAAGGCCAATGGCATTTTGGGGTGTATAAGTAGGGGCATTGCCAGCAGATTGAGGGATGTGATTGTTCCCCTCTATTGGTGAGGCCTCATCTGGAGTACTGCGTCCAGTTTTGGGCCCCACACTACAAGAAGGATGTGGAAAAATTGGAGAGAGTCCAGCGAAGGGCAACAAAAATGATTAGGGGACTGGAATACATGAGTTATGAGGAGAGGCTGAGGGAACTGGGATTGTTTAATCTACGGAAGAGAAGAATGAGGGGGGATTTCATAGCTGCTTTTAACTACCTGAAAGGTGGATCCAAAGAAGATGGATCTAGACTATTCTCAGTGATAGCAGATGACAGGACAAGGAGTAATGGTCTCAAGTTGCAGTGGGGGAGGTTTAGGTTGGATATTAGGAAAACATTTTTCACTAGGAGGGTGGTGAAACACTGGAATGCGTTACCTAGGGAGGTGGTGGAATCCCCTTCCTTAGAAGTTTTTAAGGTCAGGCTTGACAAAGCCCTGGCTGGGATGATTTAGTTGGGATTGGTCCTGCTCTGGGCAGGGGGTTGGACTAGATGGCCTCCAGAGATCCCTTCCAACTCTGTTATTCTATGATTCTATGAAAAGGGGAACAAAGGGGACCAGGGAATAAGATATCAGTCAGACAAATTTCGATACTGGAACAAACTATTAAACAATCCGTTTGTAAGCATGGGGAGGATACCAGTTACAAGGAATAGTCAGCATGGATTTATCAAGAACAAAACATGCCAAACCAACCTAATTTCCTTCTTTGACAGTGTTACTGGCCTAGTGGAGGGGGGAAGCAGTAGATGTGATAATACCTTGATGTTAGTAAGGCTTTTGACACAGTCCTACTTGACATTCTCATATGCAAACTAGGGAAATGTGATCTAGATGAAATTACTATAAGGTGGGTGCACAACTGGTTAAAAGACTGTACTCAAAGAGCAGTTATCAATGACTCACTATTAAACTGAGAGGACGGATCTAGTGCGGTCCCACAGGGGTTCCACAGTGGTTCTGATGCTATTCAATATTGTCATTAATGACTTGGATAATGGAGTGGAGAGTATATAAAATATAAAATATGCAAATGACACCAAGCTGGGAGGGGTTGCAAGCACTTTGGAGAAGAGGATCAGAATTCAAAACTGGCCTTGATAAATTGGAAAATTGGTCTGAATTCAACAAGATGAAATTCAATACAGACAAGTGTAAAGTACTTCACTTAGGAAAAATCAAAAGCACAGCTATAAAATGGGGAATAACTGGCGAGGTGAGAAGGAGCTGGGGGTTACAGGGGATCACACATTGACTATAAGTCAACAATATAACACAGCTGCAAAAAGGCTAATATCATTCTGGGGTGTATTAACAGGAGTGTCATAGGTAAGACACGGGAGGTCATTGTCCCACTCTGCTTGGCGCAGGTGAGGCCTCAGCAGGAGAACTGCATCCAATTCTGGGTCCCACACTTTAGGAAAGATGTGGACAAATAGGAGAGTCAAGAGGAGAGCAACAAAAATGATAAAGGGTTTAGAAACCTGCCCTATGAGGAAAGGTTAACAAACTGGGCATGTTTAGTCTTGAGATAATAACACTGACGCAGGGGACCTGATAACAGTCTTCAGATGTGTTAAGGGCTGTTATAAAGAGGACAGTGTTCGATTGTTCTCTGTGCCCGCTGAAGGTAGGACAAGAAGTCATGGGTTTAATCTGCAGCAAGGGAGATTTAGGTTTGATATTAGGAAAATCTTTCTAACTATAAAGACAGTTAAGCTCTGCTGTGGGCATCCAACGGGGGTTGGTTTTTAAAAACAGGTTGGACAAACACCTGCCAAGGATGGTCCTGCCACAGCACCGCTGGGGACTGGACTTGATGACTTCTCGAGGTCCCTTCCAGCCCCACATTCCTAGGATTATAAACCAACAGCCTGGGAAGTACGGCAAAAAGCAAATGAACTGGTAACTGGTTCCAATTTTTTTTCCAACTTTCTTTTAATTGATATTCAGGCAACTGCCAACAATGAACAAAGCGCCACCAGGGAGTGGCTCAAACCTGATGTACAATCCTAGGTGAAAACAGGCATCCCTCATATAAGAAAGAGAAACATGCTCCTGCTCTCACTGCCCTGGTTGTGTGGATAGGGTTAAGACACCCCCCACCTGTACTGGGAGATGGCTGAATTCATATTATTCATTTGGACTGAGGTCAAAACATGCCTTTATACCAGGTAACCTTGGTGCAGGGCAATGGGAAAACCCAGCCACCACGCAAGAGTAAACAGGGGGAATGTTAGAGCTAGTCTGTAAAATGAACTGGGAAGAAACAGCCATTGAAATACTAGAGGCTGACAGAGCCGTTCTCAGCTCAGACCCCTGCAGCACCCACACCATGCCCAAGAGGGTCTGTCGCTGGCAGTCCTGGCTGACACTTGCCCTTCCCCCACATCACCAGAACCACTTTTGGATTGACCCACAAAATAGGCATCTACCTACATCCCCCATCTCCCCTCCCAGCTCCCGCTATTGTTCCATGTCTTTTCAGAGTAGAAAAGTCAAACTCCCCAGTACTGAATCCCAGAATATCCCTGGACTGATATTCCCTGTAACCGCCCTGTACTGAACTACAAGCTATAAAATTCTAACACACAAAGAAACTGGCAAAAGTCCCTCATGCAGTCAGTGCTCCCTGGTCAGCTGCAGAAAGGATTGGGCAATGCAGACTCTGCGTTCCAGGGACTCCCTGCGATGCGGGAGGCTGTCCCGTTTCTAGGGGCTGAGCCGTGGGTGGGTTGCCTGGTGTCGTACCAGAGCATGCTTGAGCCGGAAGCTTTTCCCGCATTCAAGACAGGGGTGGGGCCTCTCTCCTGTGTGGACACTCTGATGTCTGTTCAGATCCTTCTTCTGCCGGAAGCTCTTCTCACAGTGGCCGCAGGCAAAGGGGCTTTCTCCCGTGTGGATCCTCCCATGTCGCAGAAGATCCTGCCTCTTGCGGAAACTTTTCCCACACTCCTTGCAGGTGTGGGGCCTGGTGCCCGTGTGCACCTTCCGGTGGGCATTGAGGTTCGATACGTGGTTGAAGCATTTCCCACACTCAGTGCAGGGGTAAGGTCGCTCTCCTGTGTGGGTGCGCTGGTGCTTTCTGAGGTCTTGGCTCTGCTTGAAGCATTTCTCACAGGTCCCACAGGGGTAGGGCCTCTCCGCCGCATGGGTTCTCTGGTGCGCAGTGAGATGTGCCAGCTGGCTAAATCGCTTCTCGCACTGGGAGCACAGGAAGGGTCGCTCTCCCGTGTGGGTTCTCTGGTGGCTCGTAAGCTCCTGTCTCAGGCAAAAGCTTTTCCCGCAGTCCATGCAAGGAAAGGGCCGATCCCCCGCGTGCGTCTTCTGGTGTCTCGTAAGCCCTGCCATTTGGCTGAAGCTTCTCCTGCAGTCCAGGCAGCTGTAGAATCTGTCTCCGGTATGAACTCCCTGGTGTCTGGCCAGATCCTTCTTCCGCAGGAAGCATTTCCCACATTTCCAACATTCATGCGGCTTCTTCTGACCATAAAACCTGCCCAGACTTTGAAAGAAGATCTTCCCCTTCAAGCTCTGCTCACAGGCCGAGCAACTGGGCACCTTTCCACAGGCCTTGGCTCCTACCTCTGAAGAGGACTCCACGTGCTTCCTGGAGCCCTTTTCGCTCTCCCTTGGACTGTCCGGCCCCTTCTCTGCTGGGATTCTCTTGGGTGTTTGCAACCTGCGCCGCCTCTTGTAGGTTCTTCCCCGGCTTGGGCTCTGGAAAACTGTCTCTTCACCACCTCCCAGTGGGATTGTTTGCGACTCCAGGGTCTCAGACCCTTCCTCCAGGTGCTGCTCCTCAGCTCCGTTCATGTTCCCTCTGCTGTATTTCCCAGGGGCGGTTTTCTCTCACCCCCCCTCCTTTTTCACTGTCTCTCCTAAGCAGGATGGGAACCCAATAAGACAGTGTGAACCAAACTTCCACAGCCAATGCAAGAGGAAGAAAATTCTTCTAATAAAAAGAGTTAAAAAAACACCAACACAACCGCCTGGAAGTGACCTCCTGGGTAGCTGGGTGGGAGACAACGGGTAACAGAAACTAGCGGACACCTTCAATTGCAAGGGTGTCAGGGCACTTTGCAATAGAAAGGAAGACTCAGAATCTGGGCTGGGCAAAGTAAGCAGAAGATCGCTGTGGTGCGGTGAGACAGCTGGAGACCCAGCTGCACCAGCCCAGCGAAGGCCGGGTTCTTTCAATCCCTCGACACCAGGGAGAAGGGTACCTTGGAAATTCTAGTAATAAAATCAGGAGTAACAACAATCAGTTCTCACCCTGGGCTGGGGAGCTGAGCACTAGTTTAAAGAGAACAGATTTAAATTTCCCAGGACAGCAGCGCAACAGACCCTGCTGCACAGTTTGACTCACCTGGATCTCCTAGCAGAAAACCCAAGGAAAGACTTACGGACCTGGAAACACTAAGGGGAGATCAGAAGTTTGCAGAGTACCCTGGGAGTTACCAAGTTGGAACAGGAATCTGGAAAGAAAAAGGCTTTGGTAAGACAAATACTTCATCTGAGCTTCCTGCCCCATCACACCATAGCCCCAAACCCCAGGAGGGGCTGCAGGCTTAGAGGGGAGCCTTCCTGCTCACAAGCTGTGGAAAGCTGCTGCATTTGAGGGAGAAGATCTCATGCAGTTCTATGGACGGCTGTGGAGATGAACAGAGTGAGGGGGCTAAGCAGGTAACTTACCCATAATTTCACCAGTATGACGAAGCTCCAGAATTCAGCCCAAGAAAAGAGACTGAGTTAGCCAGACTTGGTGAAAGCCTGTGTCTTGGGATTTGGGACCATCCACAAACCAGAACCAGTCAGGGCCAAGCCAAGAGCAAGGAGCGGGAAAGAGAAATCACAAACCGAGCTCCCATAACGGAGGCACTGAGAAAGCTTGTGTGTCTGGCATATCCAAATGACAGCACAGACATCCAGAATACACTGGCAATGGGCCAGTCAAAGGCACCTCAGTAGATACAGGACTATCAAGTGCACCTGCCTCATCAGGGAACAGTTTTAGAGCAGAGAGGGGTGAATCTGTGAGCTCAGTTAATGACAGGACATCCCCGAGTAACAGGAAGTTGCTGGTGAATTGGGAGGGCCCAGCACGGGAGGAATGATTAGCGACTGATGGGAAGACAGGAAAGTACAAGGTTCCCTGAAAAAAGAAAAGGAGTACTTGTGGTTCCTTGAAGATTCCCAGCAGAGGCGCAGTGCTGTGCCCTGTTACAGTCTCTCCATCTGATGAGGGCTCGGAGTGGGGAGAAGGAACTGGGAAGCTGAGAGTCTGAGTGTCTGGGGGCCCCGGGTCGCAGCGATTTTCAATATATTTTTAGCAGATTTTTGACAGAAATGCCTGTTAAACTTTTCCCTGGCAGTCATAGGTGCTGAAACTCGGGGAGCTGGGGGTACTGCCACACCCCCTGGCTTGAAGTGGTTTCCACAATATTCCGGGTTTACAGTTTGGTTCAATGTCTCTTAGCACCCCCACTATAAAGATTGTTCCAGCAGAAGGGAGCTCCTGTGTGACCCAGAACAAACAGTGATTTAAACAGGCCAAGCTATTAGGCAGTTGCTTAAATCAGCAGCTCAGTGAACTGAGAAGTTTCAAACCATCCCTAGAGAACCTCCCTTAAAGCAGTGGTTTTCAAACTTTTTTTCTGGCGACCCAGTTGAAGAAAATTTTGATGCCCACGACCCAATGGAGCTGGGGATGAGGGGTTTGGGGTGTGGGAGGGGCTCAGGGCTGGGGCAGAGGGTTGGGGTGCAGGGCTGAGGGCTGCAGGGTGGGGCCAGGAATGAGGGGTTCAGGGTGTGGTCGGGGGCTCTGGGCTGGGGTTGGGATGCGGGAGGGGGTCAGGGCTCTGTGCTCGGGGTGCAGGCTCTGGGGTGGGGCTGGGGCAGGGGGTTGGCGTGCAGGAGGGGGTCAGGGCTCTGGACTGGAGGTGCAGGCTTTGGGGTAGGGCTGGGGATGAGGGGTTTGGGGGGCAGGGAGGAACTCTGGGTTTGGGGGGGGTCTCAGGGCTGGGGCAGTGGATTGGGGCGCAGGGTTGGGATGAGGCCTTACCTGGGGCGGCTCCCAGTCAGCGGCGCAGCGGGGGTGTTAAGGCAGGCTTCCTGCCTGTCTTGGCACCGCGGACCATGCTGCGCCCCGGCTCCTAGGCGGATTTTCAATGGCCCGGTTGGCAGTGCTGACCAGAGCCACCGCGACCCAGTGCCTGCCATCCCGTGACCCAGTACTGGGTCACGACCCACAGTTTGAAAACCACCTCCTTAAAGTGACTCAGAGCGGCCTGATTTTCACTGGCTGCTGCTGGGCCCTGAAGTCTCCATTCTGTCGGCCTCCAGCTGGGGAAAAGAGGGTGAATCCTCACTGAGGCCCCAACTCCGCTAGCAAAACCGCTGCGCCCCCGAGATGCAGGGCAGGGGTGGGAATCAGAGCCACTCGTCGCCCCAGTCCGTGCAGGCCAGGCCATGTAGGGTTTAAAGCACATCAGGGCTCAAGAGTCTGGGACAATGACTGTTCTGGCCATTGCAATCCTCTCCCCACTGGAGCCCGCAATAGCCCCTGTCCTGGCTGAAGATGAAGCCCCAGTGAGCCCTGGCAGCCCCCACCCTACCTGAAGAGACTGGCCTGGGCCAGGGCGGTTTCCAGGAGCCCCCCAGGAGATCCCCGTTCCTGCCGATCTCTGACCCGAGTGAATACACAGACGGGGCCCTGAACTCGGGGTCGAGCGCAGCTCGTGCTCACTCTCCTGACGGAAAAGCGGAAGGCCGCATCCAGCCCAGCAGCTCGGAGCTGGCAGCTGCAGCAACAGAGGAGAAATCTCCCTCGAAAGTCCTGCTCCCGCACCGCAGCCCCACCATGGCCATTTCACAGCAGCCTCCGCCGGGCCTGGGAAGATGGCGGCTGCCTGCCGAGTTCTGCAGTGGCAGGGAAGTCAGGCTGCCCTCCCTGAAGATGGCCACCCCCAGCCAGGAGGCAGGGAAGGGGCACTGTGAGTGCAGGCAAATCTGGGGAGGACACGACAGCAGCCCGGTGAATATGGGGTGGGGCAGGGACGGGCACTGCAAACGTCGACATATGTATTCAAGCAGCTTTACACACTCACACTGACCGGCACACAGGGGATCGGCCTTACACACAGGACCAGCCTTACACACACATACAGCCCTGCACACGTGGGACCAGCCTTGCACACTCACACAGACCTGCACAGGATCAGCTGTACACATTGGCACTGCCCTGCACACACGGATCAGCCTTACACACTCACACTCCCCTGCACACAAGACTAGCCTCACACACACAGGATCAGCCTTACACACACAGCCCGGCACACCCAGGACCAGCCTTACACACTCACACTGCTCTGCACCCACTGGATCAGCCTTATACACTCACACTCCCCTGCACACATGGGATCAGCCTTATACACACACAGGCCGGCACACACAAGACTAGCCTCACACACACAGGATCAGCCTTACACACACAGCCCAGCACACCCAGGACCACCCTTACACACTCACACTGCTCTGCACCCACTGGATCAGCCTTACACACTCACACTCCCCTGCACACAAGACTAGCCTCACACACACAGGATCAGCCTTACACACACAGCCTGGCACACCCAGGACCAGCCTTACACACACACACTGCTCTGCACCCACTGGATCAGCCTTACACACTCACACTCCCCTGCACACATGGGATCAGCCTTATACACACACAGGCCGGCACACACAAGACTAGCCTCACACACATAGGATCAGCCTTACACACACAGCCCGGCACACCCAGGACCAGCCTTACACACCGGCACTGCCCTGCACGCAGGCCCGCTGAGCCCCTCACCCCAAAGCCCCACTCACTCGCTGCGGGAGCCACGCCGTGGCTGAGCCCACACGTCAGCCAGAGGCCGCGGCTGCAGGCCCAGGCGGTGCCCCTCTCTCTGCCCCTCGGGGCCGGGCGGCGGGAGGAGACGGCGGGCAGAGCCAGCAGCTGCCTGCCGGCCGGGGGGCCCTGACTGCCAGCCCTGAGCCCTGACCCCTAATGGAGAGAGGGAAGCGCCGGGCCAGCAGAGACGCTCTGGGGCTGAGCTGCCAAACCCCGGCTGCTGCTGCCCCCGGGCGCGTCGCCCTCCCTGCTCTGCCCATGGTCCTGACGCCCACTTCGGCCAGCTGCTCTTCTAGGAGGGGGCACGCGCCTCGGGCAGGAACGGGCGCGGCCGCCGTGTTAATACGCCGGCCCTGCTCCCGCACCAGGCCTCTGGGTGCTGCCGCAGGGTCAGTAACGAAGGGGCCAGTGCCTGGCGGGGGGGCGGGGGACACCCCTCTGCAGGGCGCAGGAAGCCTGCGGAGACCAGGTCTCATAGGGAAAAGCCCCTGTTTCTATGTACTCCTTTTCTTTTTGCGAATACAGACTAACACGGCTGTTACTCTGAAACCTGTTTCTATGCTGTCACGCAATGGCCCATTTTAGAGAGGGGAAAGGCCCAGGGAACATCCTGGGGGGTGCGTGGCAGACCCCCAAGCCTCCCCCGTTATGTGACTGTTACACACCCCACATGCAGAATGGACCCGGCTCCCCCAGCCAGGCCCCCAAGCTCACAGCAGGGCAGAACCCACTTCTCTGCTCGCTGATGCTTCTGCAGCAGCTTTGAATGAACTTCCCCCAGAGGCATTTCCTGCATCCAGTGTGGGAACAAAGCCCCAGATCACCCTGCCTTTGTGCAGGGAACACAGACCTGGGGAAGGGGGGAAGCTGGAGACTCAGACAGCTGGGGAGAGTCTGCATCGAGCCGGCAGAGCTTGATCTCCAGGCTCCAGCCATGCAGGGCTTGCCTGTGTGTGTCTACCTGTTCTGGGAAGCGCCCCTCCAGCTGCGGTGTAGACAGACCCTTAGGGCTTGGGGGCTGCCCCAAAGGAGCCGATCGGAATCAAATGGAGGTTCGGGTTCACACTGGGCTCTTCACAGCTCAGCCAGAGCTCAGTGACAGAAGGAAAATCGCTATTTACCCAGCAAGAGCAGTGTCCCATAGTTCTCCAGCATCACATCCCGGTACAGCTCCTTCTGCCAGTATCTCCCACTCCTCCTGGGAAAATCACCCAGCCCTGCAAACACAAGCGTTCCTCGCTCAGCCCCTGCTGCTCCCACCTCCCTCCACCCCAGACTCAGCAGGAAAAGGGCTCTGTGTGTGTGTCTCGCAGCAATCACACAGCCCAGCAGGGCTAGCCTGGGGGCTTATCCACTCCCTGCAAACAGCCACCTGAGCTGGGGCCACTGCAGCCCTGGGTCCAAGCTGTAACCACGCAGTCAGGAGCCCAGCTCCTTCCCGCCAAGGCTGCGCGCACAGTAGGGTTACCATACGTCCGTATTTTCCCGGACATGTCCGGCTTTTTGGTTCTTAAATCGCCATCCAGGAGGAATTTTTAAATATCTAAAAAAGAAAAGGAGTACTTGTGGCACCTTAGAGACTAAGGTGCCACAAGTACTCCTTTTCTTTTTGCGAATACAGACTAACACGGCTGTTCCTCTGAATTGGTTAGTCTCTAAGGTGCCACAAGTACTCCTTTTCTTTTTGCGAATACAGACTAACACGGCTGTTCCTCTGATAAATATCTAAAAACGTCCGGGATTTTGCCATTATTATTTTTCCCCAAAGAAGAGTTGATCCCAAGAAAGAGAGTGAATGTTGATCACTCGAGAGAGTGTCTGCTTTTCCCCCCTAGCTCCCAGCGCTTGTGCCGCATAACAGCTGTTTTGCACGGCAGGGAAGGAGGGGGCAGGAGGGGGAATGCGGCGCGCTCAGGGAAGGAGGCAGGGCCAGGGCAGGGATTTGGGGAAGGGGTTCAATGGGGCAGGGAGGGGGCAGAGTTGGGGCAGGGACTTTGGGGAAAGGGTTGGAATGGGGGCAGGGAAGGGGTGGAGTTGGGGTGGGGCTGGAGGTGGGGGGGCATGAGCAAATCCCCCCCGGGGAGTGTCCTCTTTTTTGAACGTTCAGATATGGTAACCCTAGCGCAGAGTTTCCCTTTCCCGGCAGGCGAGGCTCAGACCGGCTCTACAAAGACAAGCCAGGGCAGGGGATTTACCCCAGCGGGTTGCTGCTAAAACCTTCCAGAGAGGAGGGGGGACCTGGTCAAAATAGAACAACGGGGAATCGCCCCCGCCCGTGTCACTGAGAGCAGCAAACCGCGTCAGAGAGGAGACATTTGGAGAGGCTCCATTACTTTCCCTAGTGATGGGGTTGGCCCCTTTGCCTCACTCAGCTCAGGCGGCGAGTGTGGATGGGTTAGTGCCCCTCCCCCAGTTCCCTGCACTCGCTCAGGCCCATGGGGTTTGGGCTCCCCACTCTGTGGGAGACATTAAACAGCAGCAAACAGCCTTTGCCCCTCTGCTCCCCCCACCCCCAGGGCACCAGAAGGGTCACTAAGAGACTCCCCCACGCAGGCCCGAGTGGTGAGGGTCACAGCTTTCCCCCTCCCGCACCCCGCCCCACACATCCCCCAGAGAGACACCTACCCCCATGACTGCTTAATGCAGGGGTCTCTGGAGAGGGGCTAAGGGCCCCAGAGCCAGTGAGAAAAGCCCCTCTGGGGAAAGTTACAGGAAAAACCCTTTAAAGAAAGGCTACTCTGAAGAGTCAAAGGTCAGGGCCCTGAGGGGGGGCACACCCCCACACTTCCTCGCAGGCCTAACACAGAGCTCCCCTCGGCCAGGCCAGACGCCGAATCCTGCCCCTGCCTGGCAGTGCCCGGCTTGTCGTTTCTGGCAGGGCAGGCCATTAACCCCTTCCTGCCCTGGAGCTCGCACACCCCATGGCACCCCTCCTAACCTTGCGACGCAGGTGGAGGACTCCTTCCCTCACTCCTGCCCTTTGCACCGTCTCCCTCCCCCTGTATCCCACAGCCGCCCTGTCCGACACCCCGTTCACCACCTCCCCAGCTTGCATTGCTTCTTGCCAGCTCAGGGGCAGCCAGGCTTCAGTCTCTAGAAAGTGTGGGAGCCTGGGGCTTTTGGAAACCCCAAGAACAATGGGAGAGGCATTTCAAGCGATAGCACAGTGAGTAGGCGCCCCCCCCACCCACCCCCCACCTTGGGAAAACCTCATATCCTAGAGCCTAACAGGATTGTGATCTGCTTTCTGCCCCCTCCTTCCTTCAGGGGGGGGAAACCCCTTCCCCACGGATGCGCACTGGGGTCCTGTCAAGGGCTCTACCTGCCGTGGTGAGTGAGCAGATTTTACCCCCAGGCTCAGGCTCCTGCTAGGGGGGGGGGTTTCCACGGCTATGCGTATTGTACAGGTGGTCGAGTGAGGATTTTAAGCCAGAAGGGGCTTTAGAACATGTCGTTTTATCTGCATGGCACAGGCGAGAGAATTTCACCCAGTTACCCCTGTATGGTCTATTTCTCTGTCTAACATATTCCCCAGTCCTAGGAGCCGATACACCTGTGCAGGTGGAACTGCTGGACTAGGGCCTTAGATTGTTAAATTCCTTGAATCTTGGCTTCCCTTCTGTACTGACCTCAAGCGAGAGCCATGCTGTTTGCTCTCAGTAAGTAACAGTGGTGGTTTTAGGAATAAACTCTATTTAAGACTCTTACCGTAGAAAACAAAAAGGTGCAAAAATGGTCAGCCTGTGAAATAAACAAAGTTCGCTGGGTCATCCACTCATTTAAATCTTTTTGACGTTTTCCTTTTTTGAAAACTCAGGCCAAAAGAAACAAACCACAAATGTACAGGGGGAACAGCTCTCATCTGACATACAGTGCCACATATATTGTACCTCAACCTGCCCCGGGCAACACAAGTCCGTGGCTCAAGAATAGATATAAGAATTACATGCAAAACAAACTGTTAAAAGAACATTTATGGTTGCAAAGTCAAGCACTGAAGTCAGGAAGTGCCAAAATGACGGTGTTCCAGCAACCTTAATTTTGTCTCCTCCTCTCTATTGCAGTCAGGCCCTTTCCTTCTCCTCTGTACTAGAAAGGGTCTTGTCCGGTGCTCGTCACCATGGTATCTGAACGCCTCCACGCTGCCTGGGCACCAGCATGTCACTGAGAGCGAGCACAGGGCAGCCTCCCTGCTCTCCCTTCCTTGCCGCTGGGAGGAACAACTCCAGGGAAAGTCCTGCTCAGAGCAGACAGAATCTTGAAAGAATTTAGCTGTCACGCTCTCAAGTCCCAACCGAGCTTGTGCGACATATGGAGATTTTGGATGCTTATAACTTGGCCAAGTTTGGGTGGTTTTTCAAGGGAACAGCAAAAGGCATATCCTGTGCCGAACTTCAAGTCTCTGCTCCAAAGTATGAAGGTACTAGAGCTTCTCACTGAAAAGGCTATACGAATATTTTAACTTGGGCAAAACTGTCTTTTCCCCTAATCTCATTCTTGGAGATGGCTGAACTGGTTCATCTGAAACTTTCCCCGATTGTTCAGCCTGAGGCAAATACCTGGCACGGAAAAGGTCAGGACCCATGGTTAAAGTTTGGCTAAGTTCCAAGCCCCTGAACATGGAGCCCAATAATGGACAGTGTTTGGCAAGCTGTACTATAGGTTGGGGCAGTCTGTTTTTTATCAAGGTCCAAATTTCTTGGTCAAGGTACAGTCAAGGTCCAGACTCCAGAGAAAATAAAATAAAATAACAAGTAAATAAATATGTGGGGGTCCATTCAAAAGCTTCTGGCGGTCTGGATTTGGCCCACTGTCCACCTATTGACTACCCCTGTTATAGGCAGTGCTATCAGCTCCACCTATAACAACAGCCATTTGTCTTTACAGAAAGACTTAGGATTAAACCAGGTGTCCATCTAGTCTGGGATGCCGGCTCCAAAAGTATCCCGTGCCTTCTGTTTCAGAAGACAATGCAAGAAACCCCCTGGTGGACAATGATAATCTTGTTTCATTTGATTGGATTATTTAGGTTTCTAACATGTCAGGATCCAATGCCAATAATACTATCCATTTCTATGTGGGTAAAGAAAGTACAAAATAGCTTCAATCTTCCACCTCAAAGAGGTGCAGAAGTGTCATTGCAGAGAACGGCG